TGCGGTTCAGTATATAATGCTTTCCATCTTCCTCATCTCGACGTTTGATTGGTTCGTAAAATATTTGAGAAAATCAAGGACAGATACTTTGAGATCGCGAGATGGGAATAGGGGTTGTGAAGTTTAACCGAAATGCTTGCCCCTGGGATACAGAGGAAGATTTGAATGTATTGTAGGTAGATTGTATTTCGATAAAGTCACCATCACAACTCAAACATTAACGAATACCCCGTTAATCTGAAAACTCTAGATCTATTTGTCTAAATGCCCCGCTAGCCCGAAAACTCTACTTGTTTAAATACCCCGTTTGTCCGAAAACAGCATTAGTCGAAATGCCCCGTTAGCCTGAAAACCTTTTTGTCTAAATACCCCGTTAGTCCAAAAACTCTACTTGTCTAAATACCCCGTTAGCCCGAGAGGTCTACTTGTTTAAATACCCCGCTTGTCCGAAAACCCTTTTTGTCAGAATACCCCGTTAGTCCAAAAAAACATATTTGTCTAAATACTTGGTCCCAAAACCTTATTTGTCCAAGTACCTCGTTGGTACGAAAACCCTATTTGTCCAAATACCCCGTATTTTAGACGACCATGGCTGTAATTAGATGTGTTTTGCAGTTTGGTAGTCAGGATCACAATGTACACTGTTCAAATATCTTTCCTTGGCAGTCCAAGTGAACCTAACCCCTAGCATCAAGAAGTGTGAACATCTCTCCGAGAAGGTCGAGTGCTGCAGAGATGGAGCGTTGTTACATATCTAATGTTTTGGGATAAGTTCCATAAATGGATAAAGCAATGAACCTCTATGCAAAAATCTATAAAATATCTCTCTGTTCTGTTTTATAACTACACGACTGCGCGGTATTACCGGAATACCGGTATATCCCAATACGCTTTTCAAACGATATATATGGCAGTATTTTCTTCTGAGAACCGGTATATTGGGTAAAGAACATATGAGTTTTTTGTAACTATCTTTATCTTAAAAAATATTGCAATTTATCTTAAACTATATTTACCTGTATAAATTGTAAATTGTTCGCCTGACCATGTGCTATATTTTTGCTTATTGAATTGTACTTTTGGTCATGTGGCCATAAAAACTGAATAAAGCTCTTCTTCTTCTTCTTTATGGTGTAAATTATAATCTATACAGACTTTCATTCACAACAAATATTTTCCTTCGTTATTCAATGACAAAACTGCATACTGTAATGCTATAAATCGTATAAAAAATAACATCCCTGGTTATGGAACCTAATTTTGAGATGGCTGTTATCAGAACCATAACATATATGTTTAGGGATTAATAATGTGGAAAATAGGATTGACATGCAACTCCCTGGGGATCAGGGGCGGTGGGGTAGCCTCGAGGTTAAAAGCGTTGGCGCGTCACGCCGAATACCCGGGTTCGAATCCCCACATGGGTACAATGTGTGAAGCCCATTTCTGGTGTCCCCCGCCGTGGTATTGCTGAAATATTGCTAAAAGCGGCGTAAAACCAAACTCAGTCAGTCAGTCAGTCCCTTGGGATCATACAGCCATTATCTATTACCTGTAGGAGATGGACATAAGAGGAACTTGCTGTTATCAAGTAGGTTGTTAGGACTAGGTTGGAACTTGTTAATCAATCCTCATATATAAACAACTGTTTTTTAAACAGTTATTCATTAATGTAAGCATCTTTACCCCACAATCTGTATATCATTTTGTCCGGGTTAAAATTGATCGTCAGTAACCCATGCTTGTCGTACAAGGTGACTAACGGGATCGGGTGGTCAGACTCGCCGACTTGGTTGACACTAGGGCTGACACTAGGGCTGGCACGGGTTTCAAGTTTTCTACCCGGGTACCCTACCCCCTATTACCCTACCCTACCCGGATACCCGTTACGTTAATTCCTGACATAAAATTTGCAAGAAATGGCAATATATTCTTCAGCTCGGAGGCTAAAGCTTTGTGTTTCTCAATATCTTAACCATGTATTTAATTCAAAAGAAATGACTGTAAATAATGTCTAAATCTTCAAAGACAATACAACCTTTTAATTATGAAAGAATAACATATTACATTGATTAATCTATTGGTCATATGATCATAACGGGTCCAGGTATTGAGACGGGTACCCGGGTCCAACTCATTACCCACCCGTCCCGGGTATCCGGACCCGTTCCAGCCCTAGTTGAAGCATGTCATCGTATCCCAATTGTGTAGATCGATGCTCATACTCTTGATCACTGGATTGTTTGGTCCAGACTCGATTATTTACTAAAACAAATACACAAATTCTCAGTATTTGATTTGGAAACACACTTGTACAAGTTAAGCATCGTCGGATGATACATGTATGTTTTCGGACGTCGTACGTTTTCGGGCAGCAGTGTTTACTCTCGCTATAACGAGGCGGGTTGTGTCACACAGACATATCAGACAGAATCCAATACAAACTCAACCTTTTGGTTTTCAAGTGTCTCAATAACCTAGCTCCAAAGTATCTATCTGACCTGATCACCAGATATCAGCCCCACCGAAGTCTCCGATCTGAAAAGCTTGGTCTTCTTGTTGTCCCACGCTTTAAGTCCAGCACCAGGTTTGGGGATCGATCATTTCAGGTGGCAGGGCCCACTCTCTGGAATCATCTTCCACTGGAGCTAAGGACAATAAACAACCTGAAGATTTTCAAATCCAAACAGAAGACATAACTTTTTAAGAAAACATACAGTGTCTAACTTTTCTTTCTTGAACTGTTCGGAATGCGCTACTGAGCAGTACTTGTGGACTGGAATTGGCGCTATATAAATGTTTTCATGATGATGATGATGATGATTGTGAATACTCGAATGATGATCTGTTTGATTGCCACTCTTGCTTGACAACGGTATAAGAATCTATACCGAAACGTCACAATATAATATAGAAGTTGTAATCCATAAAGAAGCGAACCTTTCTTATCACGCGAATGGTGGCTTCTGTTTAAGATACAGTTGTTTTTAATAAGTTAGTGACATGTTTGCAGTTTTTCATCCAAAAACAACGGATGTTCTGAGGCGCCCGAAATCCCATTACTCTAGGATATGTGTGTGTTGATATTTCAGAACATTCTGCAGTGACGTAACATGACAGAAATAAATCTACTGAAGCGGCCATAAAATATCCGAGTCCATGGACCTTCTTATCCGAAGTCGGATGCCTTGTCCGCATGGCCAAAGAGGCTAACCCCGTCAGCATGCTGACATGGTCATCTGCGGGATGACTCCATGCCCAGCTACCCTTCATATCACCCATGTCTCATTATTTCTCTGTTCCCCCTTATTTGTGTGTTCCACCCTGAGCCCCTGTCCAACCTTCCCACCTCCTACACCTCTGTCCCCGACCCAGTCCCCGCCTCTGTTTCTGTCAACATCACCGGCCAAGTTATTGTGGCTGACACTGACTTAGTGGAGATAGATCTGGGCAGTGAGGCAGACACACAACCCCTCCCACCCCAGTCCTTCCTGAGAGCCTTGCTGTCCCGTTTCATCCGTCTGGTGAAAAGAGTCTTCACCTCCACCAAAACGACCTTTTAAAATGACATTTTGCAACACTCTTAGACTAACAGCTAGTCTCTGAAATGAACATACTTTACAGAAAATGAAAGTTTTTAAATTAAAATTGTAAATACAATAAAAAGGAGCCCAGGGACCTTGTTCATTTTCAGAGACCCTGAAGCTGTGGAAATCTAGACTTGCCACATTTTCTAGACTTGCGTGGGCTTTCTTAGATACTATGAGTATATCTGCTTCACTGACTGACTGACTGACTGAGTTTGGTTTTACGCCGCTTTTAGCAATATTCCAGCAACATCACGGCGGGGGACACCAGAAATGGGCTTCACACATTTTACCCATGTGGGTATTCGAACCCGGGTCTTCGGCGTGACGAGCCAACGCTTTAACCACTAGGCTACCCCACCGCCCCATTTCTGCTTCAGGGTCTGTAGACAGACTATAACACTCTAAGACGTCGCCCTTCTTTCTATTATTATGATTGTCAACTAACACAATCACTTATTGTCATTTCCATTTGGTTGTTCATTCTTCAGTAAATTTTGTTGTTCAGATCGGTATTTGCTGCTGTATTCGTAATAAAAACGGTGCCTCATTATTTATGGATCAACGTCAATCGTAACCAAAGGCAATCGGCGACATAACAGAATTTTGCATTCCGACGGTATTTCTACCTGTCAGTATTTGAACATTTCCATGGCGCATATGTAACGTATACAACAATACTGTGTGTGAGAGAGATATAGAGTGTGTGTTAGTCTGTCTCACAGTCCCTGAACCATATTATTTTCCCCAATGCTTAGCCCTCTCTGCAATGCTAAAGCCCTAAATAAAGCAAGTCTAGATTTCCTCAGGTTCAGGTTCCTGAATCTCTGGTCTCTTTGGGGCTCCTTTTCAATTTAAATGGGTTTATTTCCTACTATCAAAATTATATGTACCCCTAGTGGTTAAAGCGTTTGCTCGTCACGATGAAGACCCGGGTTCGATTCCCAGATGGGTACAATGTGTGAAGCCCATTTTTGGTGTCCCCGCCGTGATATTGCTGGAACATTGCCATAAGCGCAAAAGCGGTGTAAAACCAAACTCACTCACTCACTCATTACAGGCCACGGGTACGACAAATGTGTGTGGTGGTAAACGACATAGAATCGAGACCACTACAAGGACCCGTTTTGCTTGTCATGGTCACCTGTTTCACGGCGTGTATAGGGCATTAATGTCCAGCCATTCTCGCTGTCGCTTCTGCATTTTTACTGTCACTCCACATCGGTCCTCACGCTTCAACATCAACAAATGCAGTAGATCAGATTGACAGTTATGCGTAATTTGACATAATATATTCAAACATGAAATAAACACCGTTTATACTTATTCATCAGTGACCTTGTTTCAAGATAATCCCGTCACTCCGCACAGCGCTGAGTCACTGTACATGCATTGTCTGTACAGATCACGTGACAGTCATATGACTAGGATTTATCTGCTCCATTTAAGTACGCTTACGATAAACACGCTTGAATCTTATCGTCACAAAGACACAGTCGAGCTCACCGGTCACAGCTATGATGAAGCTTCTTCTTACGTTCGTACTCGCTGCACTAGCCACAGCGCAGATCCCTATTCCCAGACGGGAGGTGGGATTTGTGTACAACTCGGGGTCCGCCAGCGCACCTATACATTTAGATTTCTACATTGATCAGATTTGCCCCGACAGCAAAATGGCATGGCCTACTATTCTGAAGCTCGCAGATAGCTATGGGCCGAGCGTGCTTCAGCTCAACACACACCTGTTTCCTCTGCCGTACCACAGAAACTCATTCTATGCCAGCAAGGTAAGTGGGGTGGTATATCCATTGACATGGGGGCTGGTTTTGCTTTATGTAAAGATACGGTAGAACTAACAGTAGCTCGCTCAGTGAAAACAATGAGTTTTCGTTCACGCAGTAAGGATCGCTAGCCACCTATCCATAACTAAACCAGTGATCGACAGTATGAGCAAGTCCGCGGAAAGGTATCAAACAGGATTGAAACAGGAAATATTTATACACAAAGAACTTAATTAAGCAACCCCTGTATTTTTGCAATGATAGGTTTTCAACACGTACGTAAAAATTCTCGTGGTGAACACGATGGAAAAACATGAGTTTGTCTGACCCGTATGATCCCTTGACTCATAAAAAACGACAAAATCATTGGAATCCATCTTGATTGTAGGATGATAATTGCTCATTTGAAAAAAAAACAAAACACTGATTTTAATGCAAAACCATGTCTGTACAAGTATGGCCCTGGAATGTTTAATGTTGAACTTACTGGTGAATGTGAACATTCAAAATGGCATTTTGCGTGTTTTACACGATTCGTGGTCAATACCAGGTGTAACCTCTATGTGACTGTATGACAGCCAGCACTCTCTTCTCTATACCCCTGTCAGCCTCCTGATCCTCTGAATGGGCAGTCTACGCCATTCCTCGTGTAAAGCAGCTTCCAACTGGGCCAGGTTCTGTACAAGAGGATCCCTTTGTTGCACACGACGACCTTACATGTCCCAGATATGCTTCAAAGGGTTAAGATCGGGGCTCATTCAATCGTGAGATGTGTCAGGGGGTGCTTAACTAAGTTCTTCGTGTATATTTAAGATCAGACTTGGTCTGGCGCTACGGGCCATAAATGCTTAAATATATATACACGTCCCACCTCTGTTCGAACAACAGACAACAGTACCGAAACATACAATTGCGAACACCTCTCAAAATTCACGTCACGAATTAAGAACTTATTACAGCCCGGCGCTTAATCGACGATTTAAGAAAGCTGACCCGTTGGTTGGACTTTGAAGGCTCTAACGTTAATTGATCCGTGAAGATCCGGGTTAGAATTGATCTTCAGTAACCCATACTTGTCGTAAGAGGCGAGTAAAAGGATCGGGTGGTCAGGCTCGCTGACTTGGTTGACATATGTCATCGGTTCCCAGTTGTGTAGATCGATGCTCATGATGTTGATCACGGGATTGTCTGGTCCAGACTCGATTATTTACAGACCGCCCCCACATAGCTGGAATATTGCTGGGTGCGGCGTAAAACTAAACTCACTCACTCTAACGTTCATTGATTGTGTATCCACTGTCAACATTGTTTGCTTGCCCCACAGGGTACCCACATCGTCAACCAACGGAGCAAGGGAGCCAACACCTATATATGGATCAAAACCATCTACGATAACATCGACTCCCTCTCTAACTCGGTCACCTTCAACCTGTCGGACTCACAGATAGTCGAGTCGGTACACATATGTAACTTTACAAAAATAGCTGTTTAATATGTGAAGTTGTTTATAGTTTCAATTATGTGAAAGAATTTAGAAATATTGTCTGGACTTCATGATTAAGTTTAAATCTGAATTCAGCACAAACATGCTCACCGCCATTCGTTGACGCCGATTAAGAATCACGACGTAGTATATTTAAATTTTGCGCGCACGTTTCGACAAGCTCCACACAGAGTAGTGTAGCCTAAACCATCTTAGTAGCGAGGGTATGCCCCATGAAATGCAAATGTCACGGAAAGGTGATGCATGGGAGTGTTGAGACTTGTTGTTTCTGTGGATGGGGGTAAATTTATGTAAGAAGTGTAGCGGTAAAATTTTCTAAAATCTTTATTTCTTCACCGATTTCGTTCAAATTTGAAATATATGTTAATAATAGCATATAAATACAAGATATGGTTGCAATAGTCTAGATTTTTATTTAAAAAAATTACTGTCCAAACAGTGATTCGAACAGTGATTTAAGTGGTTAAAGAGGAGGGGATGAGGGTTAAATTGGGAGCAGTCTGGTTCCTTGGGTATGCTGCGCTATAGGCACGACATGTATTTACTGTAAAGACACACTGGAACAGGTGGTTAGATTTCTGTCCTGGTAGTTTCATCAGTATTTCAGCAATGTATACATCGCGAGAATGACGCCCAGTGTTACTTTTAAATGAACTTTTGTTGAACAAAGTAAGTGAGTGAGTGAATGGAGCTTTACGCCGCACTCAGCAATATTCCAGCTATATGGCGGCGGTCTGTAAATAATCGAGTCTGGACCAGACAATCCAGTGATCAATGACATGTGTCAACCAAGTCAGCGAGCCTGACCACCCGATCCCGTTAGTCGCCTCTTACGACAAGCATGGGTTACTGATGATCAATTCTAACCCGTAACTTCACGGGTTTGTGCTTTTAAATCGGTCTGGGTTAAAAGAATAGCTATAAAGAAGAATGTACAGTGTATTCACTATTTTTAATTAAGTTGGTACTGTGTCATGTATCACGTGTACTCCTTTTTCACAGGATGATAATAATATATACTGGACAAAAATAGTTAGGGGTATATGTAAATTTTATATATTAATATTAATAACTATCTATTCATTCGTTGACACACTGATAAAATATCAATCATAAAAATACCAATATCCCTAACTTATTTTGTCCAGTATATGTAACAGATGTCACGGTGAGGCTGCAGAGTATTGTGTTACTAAACACATCGCTTGAGTCTAACCTACGGGATACGGAAATTACAAAACGACAAAAAATTCAAGAATCTGTTTTGCTCCCATTTTCAATGTCTGTCTCCTTTTGTCTCTATAATTATAATGTTATTGGTCATTAAAATTAATATGGCAGTTTGAGGACCACCCATACCCCAGGGAGATTCTGAACCTGAGGAAATCTGACTTGCTTCATTTGGGGATTTAGGATTGAAGAAAGGACTGGACGGAAGGCGACTGTGGTTCAGGGACTGTGAGACAGACTACTTGAATGCAGTTGTGTAAATTTCTGCTCCGCATTTCAGTAAATATGCTACTATCGCCAATGGATTGGGTGTCCCGGCTGCGATGTTCAAGTCTCTCATCGAGGACGAAACAATCGAGATGGACACCAGGACGGAGTGGAAGTACTGCTGTACACGTAAGGGGCCTGTCTTTTGTCGTTTAATGTGTGTGCGTGCGTGCGTGCGTGCGTGCGTGCGTGCGTGCGTGTGTGTGTGTGTGTGTGATCGAAATGGACACCAGGACGGAGTGGAAGTACTGCTGTACACGTAAGGGGCCTGTCTTTTGTCGTTTAATGTGTGTGCGTGCGTACGTGCGTGCGTGCGTGCGTGCGTGTGTGTGTGAGTGATCGAGATGGACGCCAGGAAGGAGTGGAATTACTGGTGCACAAGTAAGGGGACCGTCTTTTGTCGTTTAAGGTGTGTTGGTGAGCCTGCGTGTGTGTTTGTCTTTGCATTTTGGACACCATGGCCTACGCAATCGGAGGGGCGATGGGGTAGCCTAGTGGATAAAGCGTACGCTCGTCACGCCGAAGATCCGGGTTCGATTGCCCATATGGGTTCAATGTGTGAAGCCTATTTCTGTTGCACCCCGCCCTGATATTGCTGGAATATTGCAAAAAGCATGGTAAAACCTTGCTCACTCACACATCTACACACTCGACCAGTACCAGCATTAATCCGGACTACTACAAGTAGCAACACGCACGTGCATGCACGTCAGGGTGTAGGTTCAATATTCTTGTTTGCAACGTGTAAGCCAATTTGACGTTATATGTGACCTGATGGCCTTGATCACTGTGCAGGAGGTGTAGCTGCCACGCCCACGTTCATGCTGAATGACATCCTGGTTGCTGCCGACCCCACCTGGACCGTGGATCAGTGGAAGCAGGTCATTGACCCTTTGCTGGTAAGTTCCGACATGAACAAAGCTCTTCTGAACAACATATACTGAGTTACATTTGACCACTTTTTACACAGCATTGTGTGTATTCACGCAGGCCTCATAATTTGGTAAGTCGACAATATCCCCTGGATCCATTACCGATCACAAACTAACTGCCCTTGGCTTAATTAAGTCATTTGTATTTGCTACGCGACACGGTCTAACGGACCTGCATGCCTGCCTCATACTACGTTTGTCGATATCAGGAAGACAACCAATACATTTTGATGGAAAAGTTGTCTTCATGTCTACATGCGTATTATTTAGTGGTTCCTCATCTCGACTGTCCAGTTGAAAAATATTTCTGCTAATTTGATATTGCGAGAAAATATTAAATCACGATATCGGACTGAATAGGGGTTTGTACGCTCGTCAGTTTACAGAGGGTGATTCAATTACATGCAGTATGCATTTCGAGAAAACTACCATCCCAGCTCAACATTTGCGAATTTCCCTTATTTGTCTAAACACCCCTTTCGTCCGAAAACCCTATTTGTCCATACACACAGTTAGTCTGAAAACCCTATTTGTCCAAATATCCCGTTAGTCCGAAAACGCTAATTGTCTAAATTGCCTCCTTAGTCCAAAAATGTTTTTGTCCAAATACCCTGTTAGCCAAACAAACTCTGTCCGTCCAAATTCGCCGTTTGTCAAAATACCATATTTGTACAAATATCCCGTCAGTCAAACTACCTTGTTTGTCCAAATAGCTCGTTAGTGAAAAAAACCCTATTTGTCCAAATACCACTTTAGCCAGAAAACCCTGTTGGTTCAAAAACAACAATTTCAGACGCCCTGGTTTAGATGGTTTATCTATGGTCAGTTTGATAGTCAGGATCACACTGTACAGTGAATACCTTTCCTTTGCAGTCCAAGAGAACCTAACCCCCGGCATCAAGAATTGTGAACATCTCTCCCAGAAGCTCGAGTGCTGCAGAGATGGAGTATTGTTACATATCTAATGTTACATGTCGCGGTTGAACCGGCATCCTTTGTGACATCTTTTGTGACGTGTGCGTGTGCGTGTGTGTGCGTGTGCGTGAGAGTTGCGTGTATTGGGAAAGGTTCCATATATGTATTAAACAATAAACCATTATTTAAAATATATAAACAAATCTCTCTGTTCTGTTTCATAGGGTAAGTGTGTAGTGCCCGTTCTATGTTACATCCCCGCCCCGTTATACTGCCGGAACATATCTAACATCGGCGTACCCCACATTCTCATGGGAGAAAACTGTGTGGAGTCTCCATCACTCCTCTGATATCATCACGAACAACGATAACGTGATGATATCCATTTACAGATCGTTTACATTTCGCAAAAAATTAACATAATAAACTTCAAGCAAAGCAAAACCCAAACACATGCATCGAGACAGAATATCGAGTATTACGTCTCAGGTGCATTATGATATTGTTTGTTTGTTGTTTTATGCCGCACTCAGCAATGTTCCAGCTATATGGCGACGGACTGTAAATAATCCAGTCTGGATCATACAACCCAGTGATCAACAGCATGAGCATCGATCTACGCAATTGGGATACGATGGCATGTGTCAACCAAGTCAGCCAGTCTGACCACCCGATCCCTATATAGTCGCCTCTAACGGCAAGCATTGTTTGCTGCAGATCTATTCAAAGCCAGATCTTCAAGGGTCTCTATTATGGTAATGCCCTTTACAGATTCGCAACAAAAATGTCTTTCACTTAACGTCACTGACGTCACGTCGCCATCACGTCGCCATCTCTATTGTCATGGACGAGACAAACCTACTGTGTTTGACATTTGAGGTTGTCTTAAAGGCACAATGTAACACATTTTCGACAATATTTTGGCCTATATAATACATATTGGGGCATATGCGCTCACTTTAGCTTCCTATTGATGCAATAAACGACTTATTATCCCTTATGACTTACCTGAAATCGATAATTGAAACTTCGAGGCGAACAGCTTCCAAACAGCTTCCAAACACTTGTCATAACATTCGTGACCAACTCGTGTTATTCCGGGACAAGCCGAATAGCGTCTTCTTGGAGGTTACGGAAAGGGGCGAGTGGTGACGAATGTTGTCATAACATGGAATGTAAACGATTGATCCATACATCGAAAACTGTCGCACGCGGTATAGTCGGTGTTTGCCGAACTGGTTTCAATCACAAGTTATGCGTACGATATTCGTAAAGAGCGCCCCAAGGGACATAACTCTATGGGGTTCGCTTGAAATAATGTTCGGCCGGTAGAGGGCGCGAGAGTCGATTAAATGCAACGTTGCATTAATTCATTCGAACTTTCTAATGTAATATTGTAATCTAAATACGTATTTTTTTGGGAATTAATCATATGGTAACTTCCCTGAAGGCCGATAGTTAGTATTAGTGAGAGAAATGCATTATTTATTTTTGAGAAGTGTGGTGCGAAATAGTGCCTTTAACCCCCTGGCTGCCACATAGAAATAACCCGTCTGGATCAAGAGGAACCAGCTGGAATATTGGTCCCGATTTGCAGTACTTGTTTTCAAATTGGTGGAGATTTATGGGGAACTGATATTCCGCATACAATTAAATTTGACGTACCAGAACTCATACATTATTAAGAGTTATACAAGAAAGAATCTACAAGTTCTTCTAAGTATTCTGATCTGTGAAACTGTGTTCATGTCTCTAGACATCTGAGAACCATTGTGTGTGATACTTCACGCTAAAATAAAAAAGACTTTTACACGCTACGGGATATTTGACTATCCATATTAGCTACATCATCCCCAGAACCAGAGTGGATAGACAGGTTGCCTAGGGAGAAGGGTACAACACCCGGAGTTCTCAGGTAACACTAATTCCACATTTCCGTGGATACTGACCCAGCAAGAAGAAGACATTGTCCTTGACCCTCTACTACAGCTATATATAGGTCGCAGTAGAGGGAGATATGGATAGACACCTGTAAAGGTGGCAGTAGACTAAGGCTTAGTCTCTGAATATGTATGATTTTGATAGTAACAAACAAGCCAATTTATATTGAAAAGGGAGACCAGAGATTCAGATCCTGAACCTGAGGAAATCTAGACTTGCTTTATTTAGGGCTTTAGCACCGCAGAGAGGGCTTGGCAGTAGGGAAATTAATGTGGTTCGGGGACTGTGAGACAGACTATGGTGGCAGCTGAGAAGGAAAGTGTTTCCTTTGTTTTCTTATCTGTGAACTTTAAAGTCACTGTAAGCCCGACAGTGAATCACACAACTGACGTTCCTGGTGGCAGGTTATTCGGTGCAATTTCGGTTTGCAATTTGATCTGGAGACAAACCAAAACAATTTGAAGTCACTAGTTTCATGACTGACGCTATATTTGTTTGTCATATGACAGTCACATGACTAACCGAGAGTCATCTTAAGTGACGATCGCAACATAATAACGTCTATCATATTGCAAAGTCACCGTTCGTAACTATTGGATTACAAATCCCATGATGTCCACATGAATACCTATCATATTTATATACAATAGTATCCCAACGTCATCACATTCAAGCTGAGGCAGTCACAATGGCGGTTCTGTTCGTTATCTCGCTTGTCCTAGCTACGTCTCTAGCCCAAATCCCAATCCCGCAAAGGGAGGTGGGGTTTGTGTACGATTCTGCCAACCCCAATGCCCCGGTACACTTTGACTTCTACATCGACCAAATGTGCCCCTACAGTAAGGAAGCGTTTGGAACTGTTCTACTATTGGCGAGCGTCTATGGGCCTGAAAAAATGAAACTGACGATCCACCTGTTTCCCCTGCCGTACCACCGGAACTCCTTCTACGCCAGCAAGGTAAAGGTCGTGGCGCATGCGCACTAACGACGGTGACCAACACCACCCTCACCTCTTCTGCTCTCCAAATACCATCTATTTCGTTCCACTTTGAGTCTTATTTATTCACTCCTGAATCAACAAGTAACATTTCTGAACACAAATATCAAAGAATATGTCAGAAGTATACAAAGGTAGCATATCCATACTGGGAAACAATGCAATATTTTCTTGAGATTGTACAGGGCATTCATTCAACAGCGTTAAAACAATTCCCTGCTACTCTGTTGATATTTGTGAGTCTTCAAGTGAAAGGTTGCCCGAAATTAGTCCAGGGTCTATTTTAAAGTAAACAGGGTCTACTACGTTTAGAAAATAAGAGGTCAGTGCAATGATCAAGTACGTGTTGGTGGGTGGAGGGTGGGTTTTCGCGCGCGCGCACGCGCACGCACGCACATTGTTCTGAAAGTTTATCAAATCCCCATTTTCTCAAGAGTGTGCACTCCCCCTTTCTCAAAAAGCTGTATCCGGTCCTGGTGTATTTATTGCTAGTGTTCGGTATTTATTACGAGAGACTCATAACAAAACGTTCGATTTTCATAAACACTGTAGGGGCGGTGGGGTAGCCTAGTGGTTAAAGCGTTGGCTCGTCACGCCGAAGACCCGGGTTCGAATCCCCACATGGGTACAATGTGTGAAGACCATTTCTGGTGTCCCCCGCCGTGATGTTGCCGGAATATTGCTAAAAGCGGCTTAAAACCAAACTCAGTCAGTCAGTCATAAACACTGTACCCGTACGTCGACGTTACAACTGTGCTCCCCTGTTCCAATGTATTATTTTATCAACAATAACAACAGAACAGATATGAAATTGAATGAAGAATCGTTATTTCATGGAAGGTCAATTTGGGAAGGGGAGTAATTACTCGGTAAATTACTGGGAAAACACTGTTTTAATGTAAATAAAAAGTCGTGATGTTTTTTGGGAACCATGTATCAAAGTGTCGGACAGACTTGCTGGATTAGCTTCTTTATCGCTCATATATGTATTATAGTATTGGTGTTTTGGCAACACATAACACAATGCCAAAGATAAAACACTTTTCTTAACATTCGTATTTTTAGAAATAATCCGAAATCACCAAATGTGTACTTTCTTTAGTACGTCAGTTTATTTAACACTAACATTGAGTGAGGTCCAGGGCCCAACTGTACGGAGTTATGACAGTGTAAAATTTATACATCTTATTGTGATTGTTGTATGAGTGCTTTTGTGTGACAGGGTATTGTTTTACAACGCTTTTACCAATATTCCAAACAATATTATTTTTTTCCATCATGGAATGTTATTTTCTGAAGGGGTTTGGAGAGGGTGTGATAGACGTGCTCTGTGAAATCACTACTTAAATTCCGTTAAAATGAACATTTTTGTCTATGCCGGTTGCTTTGGGTACTTGAGTTATTCGATGACTACGTATAAACTGCCGGTACAAGAATATTCGGACATGTCGGTGTACTTGGGTGTGTGTTTAAGCCGTATATCACGCGCACGTACAAATTTATGTTCAGCCGTGAATTTTCAAAGTATTTGGTCTCAATTCCATACAGTTTACCCATGTGGAGACTCAAACCCGGGCTTTCGAGGTGGGGGACGAGTGAGTGAGTGAATATGATTTAACGCCGCTTTTAGCAATATTCCAGCAATATCACGGCTCGGAACACCAGGAATGGACTTCACACATTGTACCCATATGAGGAATCGAACCCGGGTCTTCGGCGTGACGAGCGAACGCTTTAACCACAGGGCTCAAACGGCCCCACGGCATTGCACTGCAGCATTGTTGTGCATGGGTAAGTAAACGAGGACTGACAAGGCCCTGTCATGCTACTATCCAACAGGGTTCGCACATCTTTAGCAATGTGACGGATGCTGCCACGACCTTCAGCTGGATGCAAACTATCTACGATCGCATGGACCTCTTCTCAAATAACGCCACCATCAATATGCCCGACAGCCAGATCGTTGAGTAAGTATTAGGTACCAGTGTTACCTGACCAACACACTAGTGTTGGGAATTGGTTAAAATCTCATAATTGATGATTGGTTCAATACAACCGATCAATCATCGAAAATAATTGGTTAGCGTCATTTAGGAAATGTGTTAATGCACATAAAAATAAGGAAAAAAACTTGTAGTTCTTTTGGGTCTTTTTGGCAAAATTTCACATCTTTAAAGCATGACTAGTATGTTAGGAACATAAATTTCTTGGAGCCTTTAAGATAAATTCAATCATGACTTTAAAAGAACTTGTAGTGCTTACAAAATGTAACAGACAAATCCAACACCATGATGCGATAAATATTGTTAATGAAAACAAGTGTTCCAAATAGGTTGTGTTCGATTATGAGAAATTATGATCGATTGCTTGGTCGTTTAGTCACTACGACCAATCTTCGATTATTTCAATTAATCGGACCACCACTACAACAAACCAACGTCATAACTAGGCTTCGAACCCACGATCAACGGCACCTGATACGGGAAAGGGACGCCACTCTGCACAGGATATTGTGGGATCTTTAATCATTGGGGCATTTTTCTCTCAGATTGGGAGAGAGAACACTCACAGCCTGTACTATGAATTACTCCGAGTAATTCAAATAATGCAGCTGGCAGGGTAAAGGCTGTTGCATCCCCTGTTCAACCCAAGATTTCGATACAGAGATGATTCAAACAGAAACATGAGTCTCATTAACCAATTCAGACAATGACCCACTTTTCACCCGATCCGAATTTTCTCGTGTGAAAGTGAAGAGACACTACAAACAACTATGGTTACACGAAATTCCAATTCCTTGTTTCGTAAGAAAATGGTATTTACAATTGAATTTTAATTTTAAACTTTACAGAAACCGTATTTTTATATTTTATAGCGAGGTTTAGGCAGCATGACCTTAAGAGACCGTTCATAATTTATGGCTGGGGTGGGTGTGTGGGGAGGGGATATCCAGTCCAAAAGTACTGCTCAGTAGCGCATTCCGAACAGCTCAAGAGAGAAAAGTTAGACACTGTATGTTTTCTTAAAAAGTTATGTCTTCAGTTTGGATTTGAAAATCTTCAGGTTGTGTATTGTCCTTAGCTCCAGTGGAAGATGATTCCAGAGAGGGGGTACATGTACATGACATGCAGGGGGTCACTTACTTTGTACATAAATTTTAGGGGGGGTCATTCACATTGTACATGCTTCTCCATAAAAATCATCATCATCATCACACACACACACACACACCACCCCACCCCACCCCCAGCCATAAATTATGAACGGTCCCTAACTAAGAAGTCACAGACTGCCCCTGTTTGATGAGGTCGTAAAATCATTCGTCTAGCTCACTGGTTACACCTGTTATGTGTTCTTTGCGCTTATTCAGTGTGATTTTCCAAAGTACACTGTGATTGATTAATATCAAGTCCTACCTAACCGTCAAACTTTTATAGCGGCCAAGCCTCGTTTTTGAGATTTTCACGGTTTCCGTTTGTCAGAGCACGCTGCACGACGTGTTTGCAAGGATTAGGACCGTAGTGTTGCAATATACAAGTGATCAGATATATAAAATAATACTGACTAATATTTATATATTCAGTTGAATAAGTTGGTCTCAAAATTCTGGACTGGTTATTGTACTAAGTTGCGCAATAGGACGGACGGAACCCAGTCAGCGGGAAACGAAACTGTTGTGTAATCAATGGTTTGACTTGATAGTGATAAAAAATATTTTGGGGCTGGTTCCTCGGAAGCGCCATCCTCGTTTGTCCAGTGAGTGAATGATTATTGTTTCATACCGCATCAACAGCTTAATATTGCTGGAATATTGCTAAAATCAGCGTAAAACTAAACTCGCTCACTCACTCCTTGGAATATACACTGTGTTTGTTTCAGTATGTTTGCCAGTGTTGCTGACAAGGTCGGCGTACCGGCCTCGCAGTTCAAGGCCCTGATAATGGATGAGAATATCGAGATGGACACGAGGGTCGGTTGGAAGTACTGCTGTACACGTAAGCATACCGTACTTCCTCTTGTAAGCCTGAAAGGGTGACGTGAAAATGTTTGTTTGTTTGTGGTTTAACGCCGCCCTGAGCAATGGTCCAGCTATATGGCGGCGGTCTGTAAGTTATTAAGTATTGACCACACAATCCAGTGACTAACAGCATGAGTATCGATCTGCGCAATTGGGATACGATGACATGTGTCAACCAAGTCAGCGAGCCTGACCACTCGATCCCGTTAGTCGCCTCTTACGACAAACATCTTCCCAGGTTGTCATTAAAGAGATAAAACTAGGGCTGAACGGCTCGGAGTCAGTAAGCTGGTTGCATAAAAATATACATATATCATATATGAGAAAGTGCACACAATTGCTAACTCTTGTAAAGATTAAGTGAATGATCTTCCTGATATCTATCCCCAGGAGGCGTTGCGCATACACCGACGTTCATGATCAACGATGTAACGGTTGCCGGGGAGCCGACGTGGACAGTGTCTGAGTGGAAACAGGTCATAGATCCTCTGCTCTCTGGGCCACCACTTGTCCGGCCACTGAAGGTAGGAGCTGTACCGGACATATAGATAACCTGTTTCTTATGTTGGTAAACAAACCTTGTGTCTCAGTGGATCTTATTCACGCTGGCTTGCAGGTTAATGTTGATATATACTCATGCCAATAATGGTTGTCACCCCCTCCCCACCCCAACCCCCACCCCTCTCCAATTAAAAACATTTAAGGGGGTGACAACCATTATTGGCATGAGTATATTAAGGAAATTACTGTTAGGGCACGAACAAGAAGATGATGATGATGATGATGATGATGATGATGATGATGATGGTGATGATGATGATGATGATGATGATGATGATGATGATGATGACACAAGGATGATGTGATGGCGGATGTCGTCCATTCAACAGAGAACGATCCCATCAATAATGAGCGAGTGAGTTGGGTTTTACGCCGCTTTTAGCAATATTCCAGCAATATCACGACGGGGGGACACCAGAAATGGGTTTCACACATTGTACCCACGAGTGGAATCGAACCTGAATCTTCAGCGTGACGAGCCAATGCTTTAACCGCAAGGCTACCCCACCGCCCCATTAATAATGACTGGTGATTGTTGTTGATGAATGACGGTGACGATTGATAATGTTTGTTGTTGATCGCCGCAGCAATGTTCCAGCTATATGGCGCCGGCCTGTAAATAATCGAGTCTGGGCCACACAATCCTGTGATCAACATCATGAGCATGGATTGGTGATGAGCAATGACGAAGATGATTAGTGATAATGTATTAGGGTGACGATTGTTGATGGTAAATCCTAATGACGATTAGTGATGATGAGTGACATGGGGTGGATTTGGGGCCTGTCATATTGTAAGCAAATTGAATCAGTACATGTTCTTGCGTGTAAACGCTTTTTGAATGTTAAGTCCGCAACTTCCAATCACGTAGTGCGAGGAGAATGTGGTAGTTACCCTCTTTATATAACCGCTTCTAAACATTGTATCAAATATTAGTTAAAACTAATTAATATGCCAGATTACCGATTTCCGAAAAAAAGTTTTGATATGTTGTTACAATTGTCAGTTAATGGAAAGTGTAACAGGACTTCAGTAATAAGATCTCTTTTGTATGAATATGGTTTTGGATATATTTGGGAAAGACAAACAGTAGATTGTGCTGATTTTTATCTTTCAGAGTTTGTTTTCCGTTTGAAATGTTCATATGAACAAGAATGGCGTACATGTTTGGTTAATAGTTCTAAGTCCACCTCGTATATGTTGTACAAAACAACTTTTTGAAGCAGAGTTATATCTTTCAGTAACTACAGTCCATAAGTTTCGACTGGCACTTGCAAAATTTCGTTGTAGCTCACGTTCTTTAGCCATTGAGGAGGGCAGATATGTCAATGTACCAAGGAATGAAAGAATTTGTAAAGTCTGTAATTGTGGCACAACCAGAAATTATTGAGAATTTAAGAGTGTAAATTTTTAAAAAAAAATTCACTCATTACTCATGTATTTAATGTGAATATTAGCAGAACATAACTCCAGATTCAAAGACAGGTGAACAGTTAGTATTTTGTCAAGTCACCATGGGCAGCAATGCAGGCTTCAATGCGGCGGGGCATACTACTGATCAAAGAAGTTAGAAAGTTGTGGTCCATGCTGTCCCAATATCGGACCACCTCTTCTTTCATTTCAGCAATATTTGTCAGATTTTTCTTATTGACACTTTCCTTCATAAGTCCCCAAACATTTTCTATTGGATTTTGGTCAGGGCTATAGCTTGGCCAATCTAATAATGTCATATTTTGGGTCCGAAACCAGGCCTGTGAACGCTTTGAACGATGTTTTGGGTCGTTGTCCTGCTGGAAAATCCAAAAGTTTCCATAGAACACGTGAGCAGATGGAAGTAAATGTCCCTCGAGAATATCTGTGTACCGCTCACTGTTCATATTCCCTTCAAATACACAGAGGGGCGTTGCCCCTAACACAGATATGCCACCCCACAGGTTAAATTTCGGACTGTACTTTGGGCGCTGATACAAAGGTTTTTCAGTTTGTTTGGTCCAGATTTTCAGTGTATTAGGAAACATCCACACAGAACTTTCATCTGAGAAAATCACATTGTCCGAGTTAAAATTTCTATGCTGTAAGCACCAGTTCAACCTTCGCTCCTTTTGTTCAGGTTTCATGATCGGTGATGAAATTCCTCGACTTTTCTGCCAACCCATTGCATGCAGCTCAGTTCTAATTGTCTCCTTGCGGACAGCCACAGTTCCTCTATTAATCATATCCAGCCTTAAGTTTTCTAAACTCCTTCGTTTTTTTCTAGAAACAAGAATACCAAGCCGCCTCCTGTCACCGACAGTCAATTTTCTGGGCCTACCTGCGCCTCCCTGGTGCTCAATGTCCATATCCATTTGCAATATTTTTCAAAACACGATAAACAGTGGACAAAGGGATGCCTTTTCTACTTGAAATCACTTTGCTGATCTAATGTCCTTGTTATAATACTCTAAAATCAACTTCCTCTTCTCTAAATCATCCATACTGAGGATCACTGAAATTGTCGTCTGCTAGCAAGTAAACAAAGGGGTATAATTCTTCACAAACTAATGAAAAAGGATTAACGGAGTTGTCTCTCTTGAATGAAACCAAGCACTTGATAGCTGGTCAAGGTTGTTTATACTAGAAATCCAATTAAAAATATTCCTAAAATTCTCAATAATTTCTGGTCATACTATATATTGCCAAGAAATATTACGAATATCCTACTGCGACAAAATTTAATATACTTATACCTCATACCCCCTGTACATATCTGTAATATGTATACGTGTATGTACATATTTATGTGTAATGGACCAATCAATGTTGTACCAGGGGCCGTTGGCCCACATCTGTACTGAAATAAAGAACGATAAAGAACGATTGATTGACATATGAAGAATTGGGACGACGACAATGATGAAGATTGTGATGACCCTATTATTTCTATTTCCCAGGCTACCAACACCACCTGCCCTCCAGGAATAAAGCAGTGCGAATTCCTCCCCGGGAAGATAGAATGCTGCAAAGATGGAGAGTTCTGCATCCCCAACGTCGGATGTCGGTGCTGACAACAACGATTGCCTACGCCATAACAGACATCATCATTCTCTCACCTGTCGGTTATATAACTATGTCATGTTGTTGACAGTAAAGTATCTGTCTTCATCTGAGTTTTTTTTTTTTTTCAATGTGGGAAGCCACGTTCCTATTACTGAATTAAGCAGTCTTCGCATGGGGGTGGGGGCGGTGGGGTAGTCTAGTGGTTAAAGCGTTGGCTCGTCACGCCGAAGACCCGGGTTCGAATCCCCACATGGGTACAATGAGTGAAGCCCATTTCTGGTGTCCCGTGATATTGCTGGAATATTGCTAAAAGCGGCGTAAAACCATACTCAGTCAATCGCATGGGGGTGGGGTGGGGTAGCCTAGTGGTTAAAGCTAGGCTACCCCAGTTCGATTCCCCACATAGGTGTCATGTGTGAAGCATATTACTAGTGTACCACTCCGTGATATTGCTAGAATATTGCTAAAAGCGGCGTAAAACTAAACTCACTCACTGAAACCACTCTTGGTGCACTTTACGACCGCTTCAACCGATTATCCACCGGCGACATTGTCAGCTCTCGTTCACATCTTCATCTTATGCATGGTTAGTTGTTAGGGAGTTAGTTCTAATAAACTAGTATCTACATGTAAATTAAGCATTCGTGACCAACTCGTGTTATTCCGGGACAAGCCGAATCTTCTTGGAGGTTACGGAAAGGGGCGAGCGGTGACGAATGGTAAATTAAGCTGGGCCCCGTTTCGCATAGCTAGCTTTGTCGCAAGGTGGCGCGCGCAAAGGGAGCCACGGACCAGTTTACGTGTAAATCGGAGAGTGGGGTCCAAATTTTGTTGAAAGACTAGCTCGAACGTTTCATCAACTCATTGCAATATTAAACCCAGTGCTAGAATTAATAGGGCGACAATATTCTCCCTGGGTTTGTCGGTGTCAATTATATAACGAGGCAACAGAATTGATCTTCAGCAACCCATGCTTGTCGTAAAAGGCGACTAACCGGATCGGGTGGTCAGGCTCGCCGACTTGGTTGACACACGTTGTGGTATCAGAAAGCGGCTCCACACATTGTACCCATGTGGCGGATTGAACCCGGATTTTCGGCGTGAGGAGCGAACGCTTTAACCACTAGGCTACCCACCACCCCTAATGTGGATGGATGCTAATAAGCATGCAAATCGTCATCCTCTGTATCTTCAGAAGTAGCATTTTGGTAAACCTATATTTGTGAGCGATCGAGTTTACTTTTACGCTTCTTTACCCGTGCCACTTCAAAAGATTATGGGTTGGGTGTGTGCGTGTGTGCGCGCGTGCGTGCGCACAATCTTGAGAAAGGGGGGTGGGGGGTGCACACTTCTTTTTCAGGAGAGTTAATAAACTCTCATTAAATAAACCAGGGAGACTATATAAGGGGGCTGTTGTAGAGTATCCCTGAATAAACTTTCAAAACCGAATTGTTCACTCACTATATACAACATGATTAAAGTCTCTTTCATACAAAATTATGAATATAAGTCATTTCTGTGCTGTAGTACTTCATTCTTGCTTGACAAAGATATAAGAACGTCAACCGATATGTCCCATCATAACAAATTAAAGAAGTTGTCATCCATGAGATATCTCTCCATTCTTGTCGAAATGAAGTTGATAAAATCCCCGGCATTCGCGCTGCGGTATAAGGGAGGTAACTCGTCGGGCACTATCTGCTGGAAATGTCGCTCGACCCGCAATACCTGGGCACGTGCTGTTTGACAGGTGAGTGTACTGGTGTTTGCTTACACGCAAGTCGTGCTAGGTTGAAATGTTAAACCGTAACTTAGGTTCAACAGAAGTGGGTATCCCTAAAACATGGCGGGTTGTTTATAACTGTTACAGTAAGGCCACCTGAAGAAGTTAATCTTTTGATTTATGCGACCCCGTTTACATTACAAGGCGACTGAGCAAGCAGCGTTCTGTCATGTGAGATTGCACTTTCTCAGTAAAGTACAGATTCCAGAACCTTTTGGGGAGAATCCCATCAGGAATTCGAACACACACACTCCAAGACCAGTGTATAAAATATGCCAAAAACACAGTCAGACATCAGGGTTGGTATTTGAATTGGTAACATCAAAATGTTACCAGCCCAAATGGATTTAACCAGACCAGACACCCAAGATATGCTGGATTTACTCAGATGTATGGAACATCTAAAGTTTTTACCAGACCATCGGGCTGGCTAGCTGTAAATTTAGACCGTCCGTCAGAAATCTAGCCTGTCTCGGGCGTTGCACGGGCCATATTTCATACAACCCACAAAAATGGAACTTTGGAAACTGGTAGTCTGATTTATCTTTGTGTACCCCTCCGGCATGTGTAAATTGTCTCCCATGTCTGAATCAGTGTTAAGTTTAGGTGTATATAAGGTGGCCCAGTGGTTGAAGCGTTTGCTCAACAATCCGGAAACCTGGGTTCATTTCCACACTTGGGCTAAGATACATTCTTGATACCCTTCATCATATATAGTAATTCTGTACAGTGCAAACATTTGGTGAACATGACTTGAAATTAGGAAAGTCAAGATATGCATGTCAGAGGCAGATGTTTGGCACTGATCGTGGTCCCTGGTACAACATACAACAGCAGGGTACACTGGTGATCCCAGGTGAGAGAAACAAGCTTGAGATGCTTAGGTCCAAGGGCTGCCTTCCCCACCAAGTGCATAATTGCAAATTCCCTACTCAGAAAAGTCCCTGAAAATGATGTATTCAGACCTATTTGTGTGATTTTTAACGGATATATTATAAGTTGTTTACTGGTCATGAGCGGGGCATGGGTTGATGTACCCTTGATGTACCAGCGAACAACATATTTATCTTACCGAACACCTTAATGTTAATTTTGAATTGTTTGAAGCACGGGTACAAACCTTTTTGTAGCCATCGCTAGATTTTGCTGACAAGAAAAACAGATTTAGAGTTATCTCCCTTCCATCGATTTGCATTCGCAAAACATCGGTAATTTCCGTACATCATTACGTGATTCAGTGTTATTCGAGATAAAGAATTACTACCACGAAGTACAGAATGAGTTGCCATTGACAGCGGGTACATTGAAAATAATAGATGAGCGCTCAGCCAATAAGAAAGCGACATTTGTGTGTGAGGTAAGATAAATTTCATTTGAACCTAGGTTGGCGTGAGATTTATCAGTTTTTTCATGAGAGCGTGAGAGTGTGAAGTTATAATAAGTGTAAAAATTTGCTAAAAAGGAACTTTCAAGTGCCTTAATTTCAGAAGTTTTGGGGAGTGAGGGAATGGGGGTTTACACTGCTTTTAGCAATATTCCAGCAATAAATAATAATAATAATAATGTGGGTATTTATATAGCGCTACATCCAGGTACTAATACCCGCTCATGGCTCTACAATACTATATGAGAAAAAAAAATAGTTAAAACTATTTACAGAGAGACAATTGAACATAGAAAGTCTAGTAATAGGCAAGACGAAAAAAGTGGGTTTTTAGAGACGATTTAAATGTGTCCAAAGATTCAGCATTCTTGATGTGAGTGGGCAAGTTGCTCCAGAGACTGGCGGCTGCGTGTTGGAATGATCTTTTCCCATAGGATGAGAGTCGAACTTTAGGAATGAGAAGTAGCTGGTGATTCTGGGATCGTAATATCATGGCAGGGCACACCAACAATGACACATTGTACTCATACGGGGATTTGAACCTGGTTCTTTGACTGGACAAGAGAATGCTTAACCACTATGCTAACTCACCACCGCAGCACCATTTGGAAAAGCCGAAATCGAGTAAAGGCTGCTTAAGCCGAGAAGGGGATAAGGTGAGGTGAGGTGAGGTGAAATTGGGTTTAACGTCGTGCTTGAGAATATTTCGCTCATATGATGATGTGCATGCGTGTGTATGTGTATGTGCGGCTGCTTGTACTAGCCCAGACTGATGCTGGTTTTATAGTGCTAGCCAACTAAGATAACCACGCTGCATTGAAGCATGAATACCCCACTCAGACACATTATACTGACTCCGAGCCTGACCCGTGAAGATCCGGGGTAGAATAGGTCTTCAGCAACCCATGTGCTTGCCATAACAAGGCGACTATCTTGTCGTAAGAGGCGACTAACGGGATCGGGTGGTCAGTTTCGCTGACTTAGTTGACAAATGTCATCGGTTCCCAATTACGCAGATCGATGCTCATGCTGTTGATCACTGGATTGTCTGGTCCAGACTCGATTATTTACAGACCGCCGCCATATAGCTGGAATATTGCTGAGTGCGGCGTAAAACTAAACACACTCACTCACTCACTGACTCCGAGCCGACCAGCCCTTGTTGTACCCATTAATGCCGAGCGCCAGGCAGGGACCAACAAGTACCATATTTTAACGTCTTTTGGTATGACGCTGTCGGGGATTGAACCTGCAACCTTCCGCTCTCCAGCTAGACGCTCTAACCACTACACCACGGAGGCGGTAGAAGGGGATAAGAGTGAAATTGTTATGATAGGTGAAATAATATTAAAGTTAGAATTCTTTGAGTGATTGCCACCATATAGCTGGAATATTGCTTAGTGCGGCGTAAAACTAAACTCACTCACTCACTCACTCTCTTTGAGTGATTATGGTGCTGTATAATAAAACAAATTTGTAATATACTAGTAGATTGCTTAAAACACGATTTTGCTGCAGTATTGCTAATAGCAGTGTAATACTGTATTGGCTCTACTATGGACACACGAAGAGTTACCTCCCATTTTCAAATTTTGCACGGTCAGTAAAAGTAGTAAGTTAATTTCTGTTGGTTGGTTGTGGCAACTAATTAATAGAGACTGTCATAAAATCTATCTAGAGTGACCTCCCTTTGTTGTGTCAAGTTCCTTCCATTGACCATTGAAGATGCGGGTTAGGATTTATCTTTGCTGACTGGCATCGGATCCAGAGTGTGTAGCTTGATGATCATGATGTCCCACAGAATGTTGGGTCCATTATTTACTAGTGGTGATCCGATTAATTGAAATAATCAAAGATTGGTCGCAGTGACCAAACGACCAAGCAATCGATCACATTTCTCATAAACGAACACAAACGATTTTGGAACTGCTGTTTTAGTCTTTGAAACACTTGACGATGGAACATATCTTCGAAGTTGCAGGGTCTGCAAACTTGTTTAATTCTTAGAAAACTCACTTCACTAACTGAAAAGTCATGACTGAATATTTCTTGAAGACTCCAGGAAGTTTATGGTCATGATATATTAGTCATCACTTTAAAGTAGCAAGTTGCATCATCTTATACCTATCTGCAATAACAACCTGGATAGAGAACTCTGAAAAATAATGCTAACCAATTTTTTTTCAATGATTGTTCGTTGGTAATGAAGCAATCATCAATTGTGAGATTTCAACCAATTCCCAACACTATTATTTACAGACCATATACATGTTGTTGGCTTATTGCTACTGGCAACCTGAAACAACGAATACAACTCCTTCCCAGCAATGTTTGCCCTTACCCTGAAAAGCTGCAGGCTCTAAGGACACAGAACCATAAAAAGTTGTGGGTCCTGATCAGAATGTGTAGGCGCTATATTTTAGCTACAATATAAGTAATTCCCAGCAAACAAAATATGTAACTAACAAACTGAGTTAAAGAGTTTAATTTAACTCTAGTGACTGACTAGTCCTCATTTACAACAAAATCAACATCCAAGTCAAGATCCAAGTCCTCTGGAAAGTCTGAATCAGAATGTTCAGACAGATATGTCAGGGCAGTCAGAGTCATTGGGAATGAAAAAGCTGTCGGCCATAAGGACCTGCAGAAAACAAAAGCTGTGGGTCTGAGTGGTTTTCAGTCGGCGTCGGGCCTAAGGAACGACGTTAATTTCGAATGCTGCTTCCCAGTGCTTCACGACTTTGTTACCATCCAAGGACCTGTTGTACAAAGTATTCTTAACTAGTGTTGGGAATTCATAATTGATTGGTTCATTACAACCGATCAACCATAAAAAATAATTGGTTAGCGTCATTTATGAATTTTGTTAATGCACATATAAATAAGGAAAAAAACATGTAGTTCTTTTGAGCCTTTTTTTGGCAAAATATCACATCTTTAAAGGATGACTAGTATGTTAGGAACATAAATTTCTTGGAGCCTTTAAGATAAATTCAATCATGACTTCAAACGTGCTTGTAGTGCTTACAAAATGTAACAGACAAAACCAACCATGTGAAAAATATTGTTAATGAAAACAAGTGTTCCAAAATTGGTTGTGTTTGATTATGAGAAATTATGATCGATTGCTTGGTCGTTTAGTCACTACGACCAATCTTCGATTATTTCAATTAATCGGACCACCATTATTCTTAACATTAACATAATAACTCACACACCTTATGATAGGCTTAGCACTAAAGCTGTGTTGTACCTCGGTACAGAGACTAAGGTATTGCTGCATATCATGGTAATCCTAATACTGTGTGTTAATATATAACTTGATAAATATTCATTGATCTTTCACATTTGTTAATTTTAATATTTCGTTACGTACACATCGATTTGTGTATTAACCTTTGCCTTTTAACTTGGGAATCAACTCATTCAATATTTATCTTCAGTGCTTACATAGCTGAAGTTTCAGTGAAGTTGTTGTTTTGTTTGATTGTTGTCGAGTTCAGTGATGCAGATCCGAGACGAAAACAATGGAAGCACCACATCAATTTTTATTGGTTCGGTCCTGTTAAAATTTAAAAAAAGCAATATCAAAGAATAAGTTATTCTCTTTCTTCCAGAACTCAAACAGCATTCAAAATACAAATAAAAATTAGCCTGTTAATTGTTTAATTTAAAATTAGAACAGGACAAAGGATGCCTCTGTCTCAGTGTAACTCTTACTCGAGCATTTTCCATTTTGTTAGGTTTGTTGAACTGGTATAGCCAGTAGATTCTTTACCTGTACATTCTCTAACATCTCTTTCTTACAAACCGGGCGTTGGGGTAGCCTAGTGGTTAAAGCGTTCGCTCGTCATGCCGAAGGTCCGGGTTCGATTCCCCACATGGTTACAATGTGTGGAGCCCATTTCTAGTGTCCCCTGCCTTGATATGGCTGGAATATTGCTAAAAGTGACGTAAAACCATACTCACTCACTCACTCTTACAAACCACCAGCAGTGGTAGGGGAGAAATGTATGACATGTCACAGTTTAGTGTTTCTGAGTATTATAAAGTGAGTGAGTGAGTCAAGATATATAGTCACTTCAGCAGTGTTTCAGCCATATGGTGACCACTATTATGAAGAACAGTACAATAAAACTTGATAATTTTATTTATCTCCCTTTTCCGTTACGAAGATAATAATTTATCAAATGTCTGGAGGTGAGGAAGGTAACAGCGTTTTTCCGATTAAATACTGAACATAGTTACTCTGTTGATGGGGATCTGTAAACCGTTAGGCAGGAGTTTCATAGAAAACCTGTAGAGAGGAACAAAACTGTAGAATATGTACACAATCTGAATAAAAATAGCCACACAATTCACAAACAAAGACACAATCCCTATAAGGTCTGTATTGAAATGAACAAAACCTGCCACATTTTCAGTAGAAACAAACACAGAAAGTCACATCGACAGCAAGAAACTGGGTGCACATGTACTCAGTGTGCTGCGGTCTCCGTCAAATATGTGATGAAATGTAATCATTATGATTCAAACTTTACTGAAATTCTGTCTTGTTTGGGGGCGGTGGGGTAGCCTAGTGGTTAAAGTGTTCGCTCATCACGCCGAAGACCCATGTTCGAATCCCCACGTGGGTACAATGTGTGAAGCCCATTTCTAGTGTCCCCCGCCGTGATATTGCTGGAATATTGCTAAAAGATCCGGGTTAGAGGGCGGTGGGGTAGCCTAGTGGTTAAAGTATTTGCTCATCACACCGAAGACCCGGGTTCGATTGCCCACATGGGTACAATGTGTGAAGCCCGTTATCCTCTGCTGTTATATCGCTGGAAAATTGCTAAAAGCGGCGTAAACCCATACTCACTCACTCTCCTTTGTCTTAAATGTATATTTTCAAATATAGGAGTTACACGTAATTTGTTTAACGCAAAGATCACTTTGTTAGAATGGGTCCCTGGGAAGAATACACAGGTGTGTAAACAGGTAAGGGCCGATTTCTAATTGGCCACTATTGCACAACATTTAACATACTATTCTAGGTTCTGAGTATCCATTAAAGCAAACTGGGTACTATAAACTTTGTGAAATAAAGTTCTTTTGCCCAGATTTACAGTAGAGCAGTTTGCTAAGATGTTTATCTCCCAAAAGTCTCCAAGCATGTTTACTTTTGTAATCACGGAATCTATACATACCACCTGTAACGGCTGGTTCCTTGATAGTGTTCAGCGTGTTCCACCCAACAGTGGAACAAGTCTATCGTGCCAAGGGGCCACCGGTCTCTATTACAGACTCTGGGACAGATATATTTACATTCATCCAAATTACATTTTCATCGTCTTTCCAGTTCCAGAAGCCTCTACTTCAGCTCCAAGTTCCGGACAATAAGAGATTTGAGGTGAGGTGAGGTGAAATTGGGTTTAACGTCGTGCTTGGGAATATTTCGCTCATATGACGACGTGCATGCATGTGTATGTGTATGTGCTGCTGCTTGTACTAGCCCAGACTCAAGCTGGTTGTATAGTGCTAGCCCACTGAGATACCATGCCGCAGTGAAGCATGAATACCCCACTCAGACACATTATACTGACTCCGACCCGACCAGTCCTTGTTATACCCATTAATGCCGAACGCCAGGCAGGGACCAACAAGTACCATATTTTAACGTCTTTTGGTATGACGTGGTCGGGGATCGAAACTGCGACCTTCCGCTCTCCAGGCTGACGCTCTAACCACTACACCATGGAGGCGGTCATAAGAGATTTGAAGGTTCCTATGTAGAATTATTTCTATTTAACCTGATACGTAGAGTTGTCTCAGAGAGCATATTTTAGTCTAGGATACCACTATAGCTCAGAAATGGAGTGTCTTTGTTATTTTTACAGAGGAACATTTGATGCACTTAAATTGCACTTTCAATGACATGCTTTCACAACTTGTTTTCTTCATACAATTTAAATTTATAGCATTTTACGGTAAGCTCCTTCAGTATGGTTTTACTTGATCCAGGAGACAAGAAGATATCTCATTGACCCAGGTCTGGAGCTTTACACAACATGGTGAACAAATCTGCCAACCCTTCAACAATGTAATGTGGAAATAAAGTTACATTCTGAAAAGCACCATGTTTTTCTGTCCCATTGAATGCAAACTTTCAAATTGATCCCTAAAAAATGTACATAGAATGTGTTAAACTACACAAAAGGAGAAACACATTGAACAAAATTCAGATAACTTTTTGAAGAACTGAAATAAATCTGAAACATCATATATATTTTTCAAACTTCCAAGCATGATTTGACACTAAAAAATCCAATAAAGAAGAAATTTAAAATGTTTGCCCAAAATGGAATAATAAATAAACATTGAAAGGATTTCGCTCGTAATTCCTGCTTCCTGAGTAAGGGCCTTGTGACCATAAATGAATTTTTAGTACCGGTACTTAAGAATTTGAAAAATTGTGGCTGGTGTTTGTAGCTGAATTTTTTAGAATTGTTCACTCTCATCCACAGTATTGTCATGTGAAAAGGGGCGGTGGGGTAGCCTAGTGGTTAAAGCGCTGGCTCGTCACGCCGAGGACCCGGGTTCGAATCCCCACATGGGTACAATGTGTGAAGCCCATTTCTAGTGTCCCCCGCTGTGATGTTGCTGGAATATTGCCAAAAGCGGCGTAAAACCAAAACTCAGTCAGTCAGTCATGTGAAAAAGTCTAAACATGAAGGTATAATTTATCTATAGCCAACTTCCGTCTCTGTCTTTGAATATAGACAGGTCCATGCAGCTCATGAATAATGCATCATATGTGGTCGTCTGTATTGACAAGATGCCTGCTTGCTTTCAAGAAAAACAACTTTTATCTGATACCTCTTTCATCCAATATGGCGCACGAAATGTTTAAAACCCACTTTCAGTGATTCATATCCATTCCAGTGCAGAAAATTGGCCGTGATCATAGGTTCCAGGAGGTGCACTTAGGTATCATTGTATGTTTCAGCAACCAGAGACCAAGGAGGGGAATAATGTTAGATTATATGAACTAAAATATGCGTTGTATATTATAGGTGTTTTTCAGTGCAGATTGTATGGTGTTGGTTTTTCATTTACAACATCCAGATGTCTGGAGGTGTTCTGGCCTTGGAGCTGTATGTTTTAAGTATATGTTGAGATACTAATGGTTTATTCATGAGAAAAATTTGTTTGTATTTTATAAGTTTGTATGAAAATAATTTCAAATGACTCTATATTTTTGTCATATGTATTCAAACATATATAGATAAGATGAGTTGAAAAAACAGACATTTTAAGTTTTTTTGGGTGCATTGTTCTTCTGCCATGTTAGTTCAAGGTGTGTTATATATTTTATGAATTATTCATATCTTTTAATCTGAATGGAAATATATTTGTATGGTGTACATTGAATTGATTGATTGATTGTTGTTTAATGCCGCACTCCGCAATATTCCAGCTGTATGGCAGCAGTCTGTAAATAATCGAGTCTGGACCAGACAGTCCAGTGATCAACAGCATGAGTATCGATCTACGCAATTGGGATACGATGACATGTGTCAACCAAGTCAGCGAGCTTGACCACCCGATCCTGTTAGTCGCCTCCTACGACAAGCATGGGTTACTGAAGTCCAGGGGCGGTGGGGTAGCCTAGTGGTTAATGCATTCGCTCGTCATGCTGAAGACACGGGTTCGATTCCCCACATAGGTACAATTTGTGAAGCCCATTTGTGGTGTCCCCAGCCATGATATTGCTGGAATATTGCTAAAAGCGGCCTACTTACTTACTCACTACTGAAGACCAATTCTAACCCGGATCTTCACAGGTCGGTATACATTGAAGCAGATATGTGTGTGTGCAAGGATATGTCATAGGATTCACAACTGGAAGATTGTGATATTTTGTACTTGTGTTATCTATGGATTATTGTCAATACTATATTATGAACATACACTCCAGTACTCACCTGCCCTGTCTCCACCCCGTCTCCACCCCCTACATCATTTCCCCAAGGGGTGGTGGGGTAGCCTAGTGGTTAAAGCATTCGCTCGTCATGCCAAAGCCCCGGGTTCGATTCCCCACATCGGTACAATGTGTGAAGCCCATTTCTAGTGTCCCCCGCTGTGATATTGCTGGAATGTTGCTAAAAGCGGTGTGAAACCATACTCACTTACTCACTCATTTCCCCAAATTCCACTTGTTTTATTATCCCCCGCAACTCGTTTTGCGGGGGGTATTAAAATGGACTCCCTCCGTGCATCTGTGCGTCCGTGCGGAGCAGAACTTTAAAACCATTCAATATTTCTTCACCAAACTTGGTACATGGATAGATCTGGTGGTGTGCTGGTGCTTTTTGATAGTTTTGGTATTCTGAATTAAATATCTTTGGCTTTCCATGGCAACAAGTTTGACTTAGACTGAAATTGGTGGTAGTGCTCCTTTCTGCAGCAGAACCTTTAAAACCTTTCAATACTCTCCTTCCACTTTTCCAGATACACACCAAAACATTTAACGTAATCATAACTCATAGACATATTTATGAAGAGTATTTTGCCATTGCGGAAGATATTGATGACTTTGTCTTCTTGTTATCCCCCGCAATGCGTTTTGCGGGGGGTATTAACATGGACTCCGTCCGTGGGTCCATGCGTCCGTGCACATTTGTCTTTTCCGGAGCAGAGCTATAAAACCGTTCAATATTTCTTCATCAAACTTGGCACATAGATAGATCTGGTGGTGTACTGGTGCCTTTTGGTAGTTTTGGAATTCTGAATAAAACATTTTGGCGTTTCCATGGCAACAAGTTTGACTTAGCCTGAAATTGGTGGTAGTGCTCCTTTCCGGAGCAGAACTCTAAACCGTTTACTATTTCTTCACCAAACTTGGTACATAGATAGATCTGGTGGTGTACTGGTGCCTTTTGATAGTTTTGGTATTCTGAATAAAATATTTTTGGCGTTTCCATGGCAACAAGTTTGACTTAGACTGGGACTGGTGGTAGTGCTCCTTTCTGGAGCAGAACCTTTAAAACCTTTCAATACTCTCCTTCCACTTTTCCAGATACACACCAAAACATTTGACATATTCATGAAGAGTATTTTGCCATTGCAGGGGAAACTGATGACTTTGTCTTCTTGTGTTACTAATAATGTCTATCTATGCTGTGTTATTATTGGATATAATATCCTGACATTATTGTGTTTAGTTTAGGTTTAATTATTTGACAGGCAAAATCACAATATTGTTAATTGTTTAAAATGGCAGACCAAGTTGTAATATTGTGTGAATTATGTATATCATTACAGAGATGAAATGACATTATTGTGTGAACATTGTTTAATGACAGACGGATTGACAAGAATGTGTATATTATTTACAATGAGGGACTAAGTTACACTATTGTGTGAAATATTTATTTAACAGATAAAATCACATTATTGTGTGAATTGTTTATAATGATAGACAGAATGACAATGTGTAAATTGTTCAGAATTATGGGCTAAGTTGTGTGAACTGTTAATACAGACGAAGTATATGACAGTATTGTGTGTACTAGTAATATTGACAAAGTAAATAACAATATTGTGTAAACCCGTGAAGATCCGGGTTAGAATTGATCTTCAGTAAGCCATGCTTGTCGTAAGAGGCAACTAACGGGATCAGGTGGTGACACATGTCATCAAATCCCATTTGCATAGATCGATGCTCATGCTGTTGATCACTGGATTGTCTGGTCCAGACTTGATTATTTACAGACCACCGCCATATAGCTTAAATATTGCTGAGTGCGGCGTAAAACTTGACTCACTCACTCTCAGATTATTTAATTGTGTTTTAGGAGGAGCCTCCACCAACAGCCTCGCAGAAACTACAATGCGAACTGCAATACTCTTTCACTGCAGACATCTGATTGGGTAATCCAGTATTCCTCTTTGACAGAAGTGAGGTGAGGTGAAATTGGGTTTAACGTCGTGCTTGAGTATATTTCGCTCATATGACGATATGCATGCGTGTGTATGTGTACGTGCGGCTGCTTGTACTAGCCCAGACAGGGACCAACAAGTACCATATTTTAACGTCTTTTGGTATGACGCGATCGGGGATCGAACCTGCGACCTTCCGCTCTCAGGGCGTACGCTCAAACCACTACACCACGGAGGCGGTCCCTTTGACAGAAGTGAATATTGTTGCTATGCAGATGGTGAACAGCCTTTGTTGTGACTTTACAATAATAAGTGCCCCAGGTGCATAGAAAGTTGACACTTGCCATGAATAGCTGCACGATTGCTGATGTGGCTTCCTACAGTAATCACTCTAACATTTGAAAGTTTGACAAAGGTGGTGCATATTAAAACCATACACAGTTGGTTGTGTTAGTGAATTGTCTGAGTTTATATGTCGTTGTCGTTGTGGAGAGTAGCATCCTTGGTCATACTGGAAACCAATTATCATGGGTTGAAATCTTGGTGTTTTATTTCCAGGTTTGACATCACAATACATCATTTGTTTGCTCGCTCACTCACTCACTCACTCACTCACTCACTCACTCACTCACTCACTCACTCACTCACTCAGGGTACAGTGTGTGAAGCCCATTTCTGGTGTCTCTCATCGCGATATTGCTGTAATGTTCCTACAATTGACGTAAAGCTAAACTATACTTGCTCAGTTCAGCTCAGCTCAGGGGCGGTGGGGTAGCCTAATGGTTAAAGCGTTGGCTCGTCACGCCGAAGACCTGGGTTCGAATCCGAACATGGGCACAATGTTTGAAGCCCATTTCTGGTGTCTCCTGCCGTGATGTTGCTGGAATATTGTTAAAAGCGGCATAAAACCAAACTCAGTCAGTCAGTCAGTCAGTCAGCTCAGCTCAGCTCAGCTCAGCTCAGCTCAGCTCAGCTCAGCTCAGCTCAGCTCAGCTCAGCTCAGCTCAGCTCAGCTCAGCTCAGCTCAGCTCAGCTCAGCTCAGCTCAGCTCGCTCGCTCGCTCAGTCACTCACTCGCTCACTCACTCACTCTTCACAGTAGTGACCAGGCAGTTCAGTCCTAGTCCTGTTGCTGTTAAAAAGGGGACTTTGCAGTAACTTAGTTGTTAAGTGTTTACTCATCATGTCTT